CCCATCACAGGGGAGGGGGAAGTCCAGGAGGGGGAGGACCCAACCTTACCTGGATGTCCTATGTCTTTTATAATCCGGAAGTTGTGCAAATGTAGGCATGGCTGTAGATATTCTGCTGGGGTGGGGCTGGGTTGGTGCCCTCGGACTCTGTGAGGCTCTGTGATGCTGCTGCTTTGGGCCCTGGCAGGATGGGCTGGGGTCTCCATGCTCTGGGATGCATTTTGACAACAGAGGTGGCTATTGGGGTCAGTGGGGGAGCTGGCTCCCTGGAGGGCTAAGCCCAACCAGCCATTCCTCCCCATCCCTACACATTTCTCTCCTCCTGCTCCCTCACATCATCACACAAACATGCACATAGGACCTTGGCGGGTGGACAAGTCAGGGAGTGCGGGTATGGACCCCATTTCTGCATTCCTGTGGCAACCTGCCCCCCAATTTTATTTGCACCTTAAACACTTTCACCAACGACATTCCACGCAAACACACACTTAGGGCCTTGGGAGTGAGCACATCCAACGGCATTTGGCAGGGGGATATTTCAGCCTCATCCCAATTGCCGGTGCCCACTTCCAATTTTAAACTGCACTTAGACACTGAGGGCTGTGGGTGCAAGTGGGGTGGTGCGGTGGCATCAGCTGGCAAAGGCCAGATGATGCCCGCACTGCCCGCTCACCACAGCCATGGAATACACCTCATTAACACTCACTAACGCCATATTGGAGAAGACAGAGGGAGACTAAGGGTCTTAGCACACCTCTGTTGTTGCTTGGCTTCCTGGGGCTGGAGGCTAGGAGGAGATCCGGCCGTCCGGTTGGGGTCTGGGGTGGTGGGTTGCTGTGCTCAGAGTTGGGCGGGGGAGCCTGCTCATCAGCACCCCAGCAGAAAGGGTCGAACTCTTGGAACCAGTAATGGTTGTACCCCATGTGCAGCAGTACCGGGACCAGAGTGAATAGGGTGTGTATGGGGAGCATGAGTGGGTGTCCGGCGTGCATTTTTGTAAGTCTTTGGTTGTATGTGTATGTGTGAGCATGAGGGAGGGAGTATGTGACCGTGTTTGTGTATGACTGTATATGTCAGGTGGGGCCTTTGACTCCTCCCTTCTCCTGGGACTTCTTTTGATGATATAGATCTTCGTCTCCCCTCTCCCTGCCACACCTGGTGTGGAGTGCGGTGCCTTGGTCTGCCTGGGTCATGGCTCCCGGATCAGGGAGCTTAAGATTTTTGGCATCTGCCTGACCAATCCTGTTGGCTGCCTGGTGGGTCCTGGGTCCTGGGTCATTGGGTCCCAGGCTCGGCCGGCTATGGGGTGGGAGGCTGCGTGCGGGCCTGTGGGCTTGCCGCCGATATCTCCCGGGACTCTGCCGGCCGCTGGTTGTGGCCCCCCGGGGCGATCCTCTGCGCCTCTCGAGGGGAGCGGGGGCTTTTCTGGTCGCAGTCTCCCTGGAGTTCCTGTGCTCTGGGGCAGCTCTATGATTTCTGGGACTTGGAGCTCCCTCCGTCTCCTACGCATCTTTAGGGCGCTGATCTGTGGCCCCTCACACTCTCTACTGGACGCTCCTATAGAGAAACCTTACATAAACAAGCGTGTGTACACACATAGGTGCTCACATGGTGCTCTCATAAGTATGGACATAAGTATGGGCATGTTTAACACATGTCTTAAGGCTATGGTGGGCACTTAATGCACTGTGATTTATTATCGTGTGATTGTTCAGTTAAACAATGTTGATTATATAGTTCTTCATCAAGTTGACACAGTGATAGCTTGATCTTGTTGTGTTGTTCCCATTTTTTTGTTTTTTGTTCTTCTCTCTTTCTGCAGGTCTAGAAGCAGACTCTTGTTCATTATTGTGTACTTATGTGGATCCAACCCCCCCCCCCCCCACAACCTTTTGTCTCTTCCTTTCTCTTTCACCTCTGTCTCCGTGTCTGGTCGGAATTAATAAGCATGTATCAATCAATCAACCAACAACACAAATCAAAGAAGTCCTTTTAACAGGAACTTCTGTACTAGATAAAGCTGAGATTAACCAAGGGAGGACGACCAAGTCCACTAAACAGTTTATCCGCTGAGAGAGTTGAGGGAGAGGGAGAGAGAGAGAGAGAGAGAGAGAGAGAGAGAGAGAGAGAGAGAGAGAGAGAGAGAGAGAGACAGACAGACAGACAGACAGAGAGAGAGAGAGAGCATAATATGTCCCCTTTAGACACATAGGCACAGCATGCAGCGCATGCAGCAGTGGAAGTTCCCAAACATCTAAATACAAAAGAAAGGTAAACTCTAGGTATGGTCAGCGCGTTTAAGTGTGGCAAAATGCAGAAATGGGAGGTTTTAGCATTCTGTTTAATCCATTAACATTGAAATGCTTGATTGGGAGCGAGATTGTGTTACAGAGATGAAAGGAAAATGGCTCATTGAGTCCTGTAGAAACGATGTTGAGAAGATCAGTATGGATCTGAACTTGTGACATGGATTGAATGAACCGATGACTGAGCGGTGAGTGTCGTTTTCTAATTAAGAGTCCTCTGATGACATGAAAGCTACAAAAAATGATTTGGCAGTCCTGACGGGTCTGGAAGTCCTGACGCCCTGCTACATCTCCTGCTAGTGGGTGGTGTCTTCGTCTGCCTGTGTATTGGTGGCTCTCGTGTCTGGTGACATCTGCTGGCTCACTCACGGTGGCTGCCCGATGGTGCCTGGGTCTTTGAGCTCTGTCGGGATTCTGCTGGGATCTGGGCGTTTCTAAGTCTCAGGCTACTGAGGTCCCGTCTCGATGCTCACATGAGCAGCTGTGGGCGGAGCCTAAGGGCTTGCCGTTATGATCTCCTGGGCTTCTGGCATGGCTGCTAGTTCCTTCCCCGGGAAAAAGGGGCGGGGTGTTGTAATAATGGATTCAAAGACAAAGTGTTTAGACTCATTACCTTGGGCTGTGGTTGGCACTAAATGTACCATGAAATAATTATTAACGTGTATTTTTCAGTAAACATTATGCTGTTGTATAACCCTATGTTGTTTGACGCTGTGGTATCTCAGTTCTGATTTATTTTGCTGTGTTCTTGTACAGTTTCTTGTACCCCCTCTATTGTTTCTCTATGGGAACCTTTTTCCCACCTCTCTTCCTTTCTTCTCCCTCCTTTCTCTTTCATTTCCATCTCCGTGTCCGCTGGGATTAAAAACAACCAAAAGCAATTCTAATAAAGTTTTAATATCAGTCAGGACATTAAAGCTGAATCTTTAACGCTCTTGTGAGAGTAAAACTGTAAGGCTTGTTTTTGGTACTGAGACATCAATTCTGATTGCTCTACAGCTGGACAAGACACGGGAAGAGTGGTGTAAAGGATGGGTAGTTTACATCTTACTTATGAACCATAAAATGTGATATTACATAGGAATATGAAATATCAATTTGATGGATCTTTGAATATTTTAACCGGAAGATCAGAACTTTTTATTGCAGGGATTAAATGACACTTTGTATTAACTCCAAGGAAAGAGAGAGTCAGGTTTCAAATAGTTAAGAAATTTATTTCTACACAATTTAAACAAGACTAACTTAAACACTCTGTGTACTGATGGACTAAGGTGGAGTGAGACGTGAGATGATGGTGTGTGTGTCAGAACCAGTGGATCCGGAGAAGCATTTAGTTCTGAGTGGGAGTGAATGTTTCACTCTAAACTTTAGTGGGAGATTTATAACACACATGAAACGCCATCTGTCAGTCTACATACCCCAGGGGAAGCCTCCGATTAGATCCAGAATGTCGAGGTCCTCTTGGACCCTCCTTGGTACCGAAGCCGGTAGAAAAGCAGCGGTGCCGACCAAACTAGTCTTGGAATGCTTCTAGGTCAAGAGTCAAGAGTCAAGAGTCAAGAGTCATTTATTGTCATATTCTCCACATGTGCAGGACATACAGAGAAATGAAATTCAGTTTCAGCACACACAATTCAAAGATCAGACATACGTGGGTAAGACACATAACAAGAATTGGTGACTGCGGTCATTCGCAACATGAGTCGCGCTACCTTAGGTCACGACAGGTTATCACTGGAGTCTCCAAGACCCTGAAGGGGTCGTGAGGTTCAGCTTTTATTCTGAAGGAACCGTTGCGGTCAGGTGTAACTTGCAACAGATTTTATCCAGCTTGTCGAGGTTCTTTCTGGCTGAAGAGGAAGTCCGGATGGCCTGTCCGAGACTCCTCTAGAACGCTTTGAACTAAAGAAAAGGTGGTGTGGGATAGTTTTTATAATTGTCATATTTTGGTTTACTGGCGAATTAGAATTTGACATGCAAAAGAGGGTTTATACAAACACCACAGAAAACCACGCCTAGCTCCAGAAACAAAGGTTCTGATTGGGTGAGACAAAAGAAAATGTGTCGTGTGGCTTTAGCATTACATGTCCTGCAGCTGTCCAGGATTAGAATTACTTGTAAAATACTACTGATCACAGGATTATAATATCAAGTAATAACATTGTCATTTCACAGATTGATTGAACATTGGGCTCACATTATTATTGGTAATAACAAAGTTGTTGATTATGTGTTTATCAAAAGAGAGTACTTCGTCTTCGTCTTGAACTGTCCAGAGGTGAAGCAGTTCAGATGAGCAGAGGGCATGAAAGATCTTGGCCACTGTCTCATGTAGATTAGCCTGTCAGAGACATAAAGTCTCTGCTCGAGCGAGCAGACGCAGCAGATCATGACCTTTAGGCCAAAAACAGGACATTCCTGGCACTACAGTGGTGAAAAACTGTTTTGTCTCTGTGTTCTGAATAAAGGTTTTTTTTTGCAAGGTGCTTGTTTTTAATGTTTTGTCCTTACTTTTCTTTTCTTGTCCTAATTCACTTAACTTGTTATTATTAAACACAGTTTCTGCATAACCATTTTTCATAAATTTGACTCAAATTCCTGACTTCCTCTCTGAAAAGTTGTTTGCATGGCCTCTCTAATAGAGTGAGGAGTGGACACCCCCATCCACCCACCCATCCCTCCACCCCAGCATCTAAATGTGTGCTGGTGTTTGGAATAAGCCTCTTTCTGCCCACCTACAGGAGCAGGAGTGTGTGGCCCCGGGAGTCACTGGCAGCAGGAACGGCAGCATCAACGGTACGTTACTATCACCACACCGGGGAAAATTAGGAGGGTTTCCTTTCAGGTATTTATATCAAAGACAATTAAAAAAACAAAAACCTTTGTAGTTACATTCACTTGTAAGTTCATCCCATTTTATTCATAAAGAAAGTAGAATAAATATAAAACTATGCAGTGTTAAAGTGCAACAGTTTTATCCTGCAGTAATGATTCATTGAACCAGCCTGATTATCAGTATTCTGTTGGTTTCATTTGGTCCACGTGTACAAATTCACTGGAAGGTTTTCATTTACATTTGAGACTTAAAAAGTATTTAGCTGTCGTTAAGCAAAGTTTTGTTTCCAAGTTAATGCTGGCATGAGTAGAAGTGGTAAAACATTCCACCTCGTCATTCTGATCATTCAGTTTAAAATGTAATTTGAGGTGTGAAAATAAAATCATTTAAATAAAACAGCTCAGTAAGGTTTTTTTCTCCTTTTCTTTGGAATGATGTAGTGATCCATCGTATCCTGTGTTACAAAACTTCTGTGTTAGTTTTGACATGTCACACTATTGCCCTACTTCACAATACAGTATTTAGTTTTTGTTATCCAATTGTTGTGTCTTGGCGGCATTCACTGGCTGAAAGTGACATCCTGTTGCTAAGGTTACATTAGACTGAAGGAGAACGGGATCTGAATGGTAATTTTCTGAAACCATTCTGGAAAGTTACAGAAAGTCTCCTTATTGTTTTTTTATTCATTTATTTTTATTTATCTTTATAAACTCGAACTTCATCTTTTTTTCATCCATTAGGATGTGTGTGTGTGTGTGTGTGTGTGTGTGTGTGTGTGTATAGCTACCAAATGGCGTGTTGCTGGATGTTTGATCTGTGACTCCTGATATATTCATGCACCTCTAAGCCTCTGTGTGAGCTGTTGGCCTCCACCCATTTGACTGTACAACAGCCGTGTGTATTCTCAAACAGACCATTCAGTATGTGTCAGTGGTGTGGATGCGCGCATACGCACGCACGCACGCACGCACGCACGCACGCACACACACACACACACACACACACACACACACACACACACACACACACACACACACACACACACCTCTCATGTCTTCTTCACCAGACGCAAGTTCCCTCACATCACCTTAGTGATCTATGACTAGTCTGTGTGTGTGTGTGTGTGTGTGTGTGTGTGTGTGCGTGCATGTGTGTGTGTGTGTGTGCGTGCGCGTGTGTGTGTGAGTGTGTGTGTGTGTGCATATCAATGTCAGCTCTGTTCTGCTGCTGGCGGCCAAAGGAGGGTTAGGAAAAGAGGGAGAAGGAGGAGGGTGGGTCTCTGGATGCACGACTTGTGTTGACCTTGGCAGGGTGAGACCATCCTCAGGTCCCGCCTCTCTTCACGGCTGGAACAGACTGAGGCCTTCTTTAGAACAGAACAGACCACAGCGGCAGCCCTAGGTAGCAGCAGCCATGGCCGGTCTGAATAGGCTCAGTGTCAAATAGTGGCTCACTGGTTTGACCTGGTCCGTAGAGAGTAGCTGGTGAACATAATGAAGTAGCTTCAGTTGAAATGATGCCTTCAAGGACAACAGGGATCTGCTAGGTGAATCAAAGACCTAGTAGTCTTAGGTTCACTCTGAGTTACTCCATGTACAGATCACAGGATCCAGGACAATACTGACAACTGGGGGCACTATAGACATTATTGATGACCAAATAAAGTTTTTTATTGGATGAACACTAGTTTGTTGGACTTCACATACTTATCAGTGGCCCCTGCCGGGAAACGATTCCAACCCTGATTTCTGTTAAATAGTTCAGTGACCAAAATGTGTTGTTATCTGTTATTGGGTTAAATTCTGAATGATTGGAGCAACACAAAAGTTTAACTCTAGAAGAAAAGAAAGTCAATCATAAAGGGGACAGAACACATTAAAGCTGGATTGGTGGTTTTTATTTGAAATGTCCAAAGGTGCATTCAGCTGTTTGGTCAAAAGGACAAAATGTAGGTAAAAAGAAAATGTTTCCAACCTCCTTTACCTGGTGATAAATGCCAGGTTCATTCATCCATCCGCTTTCTGCCTCTAATCCGGGGTCAGGTGAGCAGCCTAAGCAGACCGGCCACCTCAACTGGTTCCTCCGATCTTCTCAGAGGCCTAGTGGTATGAGTGTCCACCCTGGGACTCAGAGATCAGGGTTCAAATCCTGGTTGGGTCATGCCTAAGACTTCAAAAATTGGACCAAATGCCTCCCTGCTTGACACTCAGCTTTAAGGGGTTGGATTGAGGCGTCAAACCACCAAATAGTTCCCGAGCCACTGCTGCAGCTCACTGTTCCCCACAAGGATGGGTCAAATGTGGAGATGTAATTTCACCAGTGTGTGAGGATGACTAATGGGACTTTAACTTAACTTAACTTTGATGTGAAGCGTGTTTTGTTAAACAGGCAAAGAATGGGTGGAAACAAGAAACAACAGCATCAATAAATGTAAAGGATGGTTGTAAAAAGGCAGAATTTAACAGAAAATAGTCTGAAAAGTGTTGGGTCCTCAGTTAATTTGTTCAGAATGCAAATGGTGCCAGTAAAGATGTTCTGAAAACAGAATATTGTTCCTCTGGTAAAGTTTTTTGCTACTGATTACTCAGACTCAGACAACCCACACAAAACAGAACCCAAAAACCCAAAGTGTGACAGGTCAGTTGTGTTTTCAAGGGCAACAATAAAAAAAAGGAAATAATATAATGATGTGTTTGCTGTTTAAAGGTGTGATCAACCCTCTAAAATGACCAGTGCTTGCATCATAAGTTTTTGAAAGCATGCTACTTTAAAATATTTTGGGTTTTGTGGTGGAAAAATGTGGAGAATAGCCTAATGTTTCTACAATCCTTAAACAGATGTTTAAGTCATAATGCTGGAAATCATATCAGGAATCCAAAAACAGTCAAAAGTTTGATGAGCAATTTATTTTAGGAAAAAAAGCAGCAGTGTGAAAATGATGGGGTGAATTTGTTCATGAGTCCACCTTATGTGGTGTGGTATTTTGTGTTTCCTGCCAAACTGGGCCAGCGAACAATCTCAGGCAGATCTGAGACAGCAGGGCAAATATTAGTCCTACTCCAGTGTATGAACTGACACTGTGGAACTCTGAGAATGGAGATCAGCCCCCCCCCCCCACCACCACCACCACCACACACACACACACACACACACACACAGGTGTTGATGAGCTACAATTAGCCACAGCTGCCCTGAGGCTCGCTGACAGAAGCAAAGTTGCTGAACACTAGCGCCCTCTGACCACCACCAGCAGGCATGGAGGGTGAAGTGTCTTGCCCAAGGGCACAATTGCTGTTTAAGACTGAGCGGGGCTTGAACCTGAAACCCTCTGGTTATGAAGCAGACATTTAACTCTTCTGCAACCAAAGCCCCAATAAAACTATTAGTTAGTAGTTCAAGACCAATAAATACCCAGCTAAGTCTAATAAACACACACAGAGGGACATTCATAAAGACATAGAGGTAACACTTTACAACAAGGGCCCCTTTTTTAAAGTTACTTAGTGCATTAATAAGCAGAAATTAGGGATGTGTATTAATGAAATTCTGGCGATACAATTCATATTACGATACGGGGAGACGATACGATATATCACGATATATTGCAGTACATTCAGTCCCATGATATTAGCGATTTTTAGACTGAATTTTTATGGGAAAATTCAATAAACAGTACAAACTGATACTTAACATATTTAACATGAGGTATCTGAACCATAATAGGGAGCCTAAGTCACTTCTGCATCATGGGTCCTCGGAAAAACGAAAAAATGAACGCAAGTCAACGGGGCTAAAAACGCTATTTTCTAATTCCGCTTGTTTTGTGCCATGGATTTCACATATGGTGTCCGTGAATTTTATAGATGCATTTTGACACCAAGGACGCACTTATTTTCGAACGGGAGAACTATTTTTCAGGTTTTGTGTGAAAACAAGTCCAGGACTACAAATGTGCTTCACGAAAGTGACGTCATCGAACCAGACACGGAGAAAACTGAGGGAAAAGGGCTGTAAGTTCAACAAACTTCCCACAGGAGGGAAGAACCACCATAAATCTGGTCATTTGGTAAGTAGCAGCTATGCTAGAGGAGAGCGGCTTATGTGGTGACGTCGCATATGCAACGTGCTGAATTCTAGTTTGTAGTCATGCTAATTAAGAACTTTCACAAGTGAATAAATCTCAAAGTACATGACTGGCATGGTTGAAACACCCATCATTACTTTTCATTAAAATAGCAGTACAACATATGTGTGATCCAGGCCTAAGGCTAAGCAGATTAGAAAATAGTGTTTTTAGCCCCGTTGACCTGCATTAATTTTTTCATTTTTCCAGGGACCCATGATACAGAAGTGACTTAGGATCCCTTTTGAGGGATTTACATTTTAATGGTGGAAACAAAACCCATTGCACACTGCTGTCAACTATCGGTCGGCGTTTGAATTGCATCAAAACAAAAGAAAATACACAAATTTTTGCATGGAAATTCTTCCAAAAATTAGATACACAGCTTTTCAATATCGATATAATATTGCAGGAAAAAATTTCACAGTATATTGCCATATCAATATTTTCTTACATCCCTAATACACATAGTAACTCAGTGTCATATTATAACACTTTTGCTCATAATTTATGAACATTGTTTCTTTTTTTACAAAGCAAACTGGCTTAAGCATCAGTTTTGCCTCTGAAAAGTAAACTTGCCTTATCCTTTTTCTTAGCATGTTGATTTATGTTTTTATATGGTGTTCTGCACCCTGGGCTTCCATTAATTTTGTGGAAAGTGCTATAAAAAAATTTGATTGATTGATCTATCTCTTATAGAAATTATTCATCAGTACACCGGGGCCTTTCCATCACCCTAATTAAGCCAACTATGTCTAAAACTAAACTTTCTCTGCCAGACTAATCAGTCTTTTTTGCCAAATGGTTTTCCCCTCGGAGTTGGTACGATGGTGGGCAACTGCAGCACAGGAGTTGTGTGTTCACCCCACAATTGGAAGGTTGCAGGTTCAAGCCCGGCTCAGTCTGTCGTTGTGTCCTTGGGCAAGACACTTAACCCACCTTGCCTGCTGGTGGTGGTCGGAGGGACAGGCGGTGCCTGTGTACGGCAGACTCTCCTCCGTTCGTGTGCCCCAGGGCAGCTGTGACTACTATGTAGCTCATCACCACCAGGGTTTGAATTTGTGTGTGAATGACTGATTGTGTTGTAAAGCTCCTTGGGGGGTTCCAGGACTCTAGAAGGTGCTATATCAAATACTGGCCATATATCATTTTACATGGCCTCCCTGTCTGCTGCCACAGTTCTACCACACGATTACACTGCATCAGAAAAACATGAAATGTTTGAATTATTTGCACTTTAATCCATTATTCTCTGAACTTTGGTCAGTTAATCAAACCAATAGACAGATGGTGAGAGGAAGGCTAATTTAAAAACTACAACACTAATCCATTGCCCATTTTTGTGCTCTTCAGGTGACCATGACAACTCTGCTTCTGCTGTGTGTGTGTTTCCCCATCATCTCAGCAACAATATCATTTGAAGACCACAATGGTAAGAAACAAAAAATAAGCATGAATTACCTTGTTACACTGATTTGACCTCTGACCTGTAGTCAGGATTAAAGACCAGGTTCACTGAAAAAACATTTTTACTTGTTACTTACTTTAAAAATTTTGTACCACAAGTATCTGGCCAGGTTTCACCTTCTAAGTTGACTGATTTTTTGACCTGAGAGCTTGGCTAGATGACTATTTCTGTTCTGCTGCTGATGGTTCTGCTTATTCCAAGATTGATTTCCCATATTTTCAGCGCTATGATCCCTTTTCCCTGACTGTCTATCCCAGAACTTTACTTTTGACTGTTGTAACTTAAACACATTTGATATTTATTTATTTACAAATTTATAAATTTGCACAGTAACTAACAAATCAATAACCTCCTTGCTTTATCAGACATGGATGGTGCATTACGTGTCAGCATCCCCTCGGAGGTCTCTCTCCGTCCTCAGCTAGGTGGTAAGGTGGTTGTGCCATGCTACTTCCAAGATAACACCATCAAGGACATTGGTGCCCCAACTACCGCACCACTCTCCTACCGCATCAAATGGACCTATGTCACCAAGGAGAGGACTACAACAATCCTAGTGGCACTGGGGGGGAAAGTTCATGTAGAGAAAGATTATGATGACAGGGTGACATTGGTCAACTACCCAATGGTTTCTACTGACGCTAGCATGGAGCTTACAGAACTGAGGTCCAAAGATTCTGGCATGTACCGCTGCGAGGTCATGCATGGCATTGAGGACAAGTACGACTCTGTGGAAATCCAGGTTCAGGGTAAGCTTAATGTTTACACTCCTATTAAGGTAATGTTCTTCAGACTGAAAGACAACTTATTCATCATTTTATGTATTTTATATTTTTTTTATTTGACTGGAAACAAATTAGCAGAAAAGGGTGATTAAAGCAGGGTTAGTGAATGTGTTTTTATTTAAAAAATAAATGATCCTTTAAATATTTTACAGGCATTGTGTTTCACTACCGGGCCATCTCCAGCCGTTACACCCTGACTTTTGAAAGAGCTAAAGCAGCCTGCATCCACAACAGTGCCACCATTGCCACTCCGGCGCAGCTCCAAGCTGCCTTTGATGACGGATACCACCAGTGTGATGCTGGATGGCTGTCTGATCAGACTGTCAGGTACAGTAGTACCCCTGAACTACTATTGTTACCAGAAAATTAAGAAACATTTATAAAAGAGGTGAGGGTTTGACACAATTAGGATGAAAATAAAAATGTTAGTGTGTCTGAATTGTTTTTATTATTTTTTTATTTTTTTATAATATTTTATTTTTCAGGTTTTTAGTCAAGCCATATAAACAAACATACGTTTATAATCAAAATAAGAATAAAAATGCTAAACTTAAAAATAAAGAAGACAAAAAGCAGAAAAAGAGGAAAAAAAATGGGAGGGGGGGGGGGGGGGGGGCTGCCAGACCACATTGTAAACAGAAAGGTATATAAAACAGTTACTATTAAGCACATTTACAGATGATGGAGCAAAATTACATTAGGTATGTTTCAGCACCAGTCATTAATCCAAACCATTTCACCAGCTAGATAACCTTGTAGTGGGTTAGGAAAGGTCTCCAGCCCTCCTCAAGCTTGCTGCGAGAGCCAGTGTGGATGTGGCATTTCCAATTGAATGACATGTAGCATCTCTGTGAGCCAATGTCCAAAGGAAGGTGGAGTTGTAGATTTCCATTTCAGAAGAATTAGTTTTTTTTAGCCACAACCATCCCTAACTGTAGAGCAGTCTGCGTGTGCTGTGGGCACCATTCCCTAACACAGTGTCTGACTTGAAGGTAGAGAAAAGAAATGTGCATTAGGGAGGTTATACTTTGAACTAAGCTGGGAAAATGAAGCAAATCGACCACCAATAAACAGATCTGCAAATGATCTGATGCCCTTCTCCTTCCAGACCATGAATACTGCATCTTGCTGCCTGGGTGTGAAAACATGGTTTTGGCAAATAGGAGCTTGTATTGAGACGATGGGAGCCTGAAAAGCTTTTTTAATCTGACTTAGGATTCGTAGAGAGTTCCTTAAAATAAAATTGTGTTGTAGTTTGTATATTTTCGCAGAACCTGAAAACAAAAGAGCTGGAGGTGAGGACTTTTTCACAGCAGCTGCTTCTAAGTGCAACCATGAGGGACCTACTCTCATCCCCGCGGATCCACTATTCCAATAAGTGAGAGCCCTGGCATTAGCTGCCCAATAATAGTGCCTCAAAACTGGCAGGCCCAAGCCTCCATTGCTAGTGGATTTCTGTAGGTGAGCTTTGGCTATGTGGTGGGGTTTGTTGCCCCCATATAAATGACAAAATTATTGAGTCAACTTTCTTAAAAAAAGGACAAATTCAAATATATTGGTAAATTCTGGAACAGGTACAGAAATCTAGGTAGGCTGATCATTTTGATGGCGCTCCACCTACCAATTAAATGCCTGTAATGTGAGGGTGCTCCCTGATGCCAATAGCTAGGGGCTCTAAAGCAACATAAAACAGTAGGGGGGACAAAGGGTCCCCCTGACGGACGCCTCGCTGCAAGCTGAATGGGTCGGACCTGTCTCCATTTGTAAGGATACTAGATTTGAGATTAGAATATAATGTTTTGACCCAATGTACAAAATTGTCACCAAAGCCCAATTTTTTCTGTGTTGCTATTAGATATGGCCATTCTAGAGAATCAAAGGCTTTGTGGGGGTCCAGGGCTAGTATAGCAGCTCTGTCATTTTTACTATAATTTGCATACATAATATGGAGAATTTTACGGACATTACAGAACGAAAATCTACCTTGAATGAAACCCGTTTGGTCTGGATGGACGATGCTTGATATACTTTTTCCAAGTTGCCAAGACCTTTGTGATAAATTTCAAATTGCAATTCAAAAGGGCAATGGGCCTATAACTAGCTGGATCTGTCTCATCCTTGTCCTTTTTCAGTAAGACACAAATATTAACTTCGGTAAAGGAGGGTGGCAATTTTTTATTTGTAAAGCTGTGCAGGATCCTTCTCCGCAGGTAAGGGGCCAGTTCTTCTTGAAACGCTTTATAAAACTCCAGCCCGAGCCCATCTGATCAGATAATAATCTCCCATGGTAAGCAGTGTGGCAAACACTAGGGATCAATCTGGTATCTATCAAAAAATAATCAATCCGTGTATAAGACTTATGCATGTGTGAGTAGAAGGAATAATCCCGGTCACATGGATGTTGCAGTCTCCAGATATCGACTACTTTCTTCAATTTCATTAGATTATTAATAGTTTGAACGAATGTAATATTTGGTGGGGAGGCAGAGGATTGCCTGTCCAAATAAGGATCCAGATAGCAGTTAAAGTCACCTCCAATTAAAATTTAGCTTGAGTCATCGTCTGAGATGAGATCAAACATCCTACGATAAAAAGCTGAGTCATCTGTGTTTAGCCCATGAATATTAACTAATGTAATGGAAAGAGAGTTAACGTGCCCAGATATGATTATGAACCTGCCATTTGGGTCAATTGTGGAGGACCTGAAACGAAATGGCACAATTTTACGAAAAAGAATAGCAACGCCCCTAGCTTTTGATGTAAAAGGTGACTGATAGGTTTGTGAAATCCAATTAGCTCTTAGTATCCTATGCTGTGTAGCTGAGAGATGAGTCTCCTGGAGAAACATTATGTCCGCCTTCAATGATTTTAAGTATGAAAGAACTTTACCGCGTTTAATTGGGCTATTCAGGCCACGAATATTCCAAGAAACCAGGGACAGAGAGTCCAAGGAAACCGTCCACAAAACAAACCCCACCCAGTGCTTCCCCACACGAAGCATGGTTACCCTCAACCATATCCGGGGCTGCCGGGCAAACAGTGTGAAAACACCTCCCTTTAACAGCTTAACTCAGACACAACTAGTGATAGAACATTTTACACAGAAACCATCCACCTAACGGTCTAATCAGATCTTATCACACGATTAACTTTTATCGTGGGACAATAAAGTCCCGCTACTAGAGGTTTTGAGTAATGAAAGTCTTAGCTTCCTCAGGGTTATTAGACAACTTAACTTGTCCCTGGTGGTGGACGTGGAGCTTAGCCGGGAACCTGAGCGTGTGGCGAATTTCCTTTTCCCTCAGCAGCTGCTGCACCTTGCGGAAGCCCCGTCGTTGCTCCATAACGTCGGCAGTGTAGTCAGGAAAGATTAGGATGCGGTGGCCCGCGAGGTCCATTGTGGTCTGCCTCCTCAGTCACATAATCTGTTCTTTATCCTGTGCAAAGTGCACCCGGGCGATTATGGTGCGGGGTCTGGCGCCCTCTGGGGGTCTGGGTTGCTGAGTGCGGTGCGCCCTGTCGATGATGACTGGTTTCTCAAATTTGTCTCCTCCGAGCAGTTTCGGGATGAGTTCTGACACAAACTATGTGGGCCTTCCTTTCTCCTCACCTTCAGGAATCCCAATGCTTTTTATGTTATTGCGTCTGGATCGTCCCTCAAGATCCGAGAGCTTAGCTTGCAGTTTCTTATTATCAGACTGTAGATCGACAACTGAATGCTCTATTGCGCTAATGTGTAACTTGTGATCTGTAGCTTGACTCTCAGTGGTGGATAGCCTGTCAGCTAGCGCTTGCTGGGCCACCAACAAGTTCTGAAAACTCTGCTCAAACTTGTCAAACCTCTCATTGATGGACTGCAGAAGCATGTTTGACATCTTTTGCCACATCAGAGGGAGCTCGTCTTCTTCTTCCTCCAAACCATGGTCCGCCAGCAAAGCCGAACCCTTTTTTCTAGGGCTGCTGCAGCTAACGTTAGTTCCCTTGGCCCCACGTGTACTCCTGAACATGTTTTCTTCCTGGTTCTCAGTACCGGAGTATGTAGAAAGTGACACAGGATCACTTCTTTCGTGATAAAAGAGTGTTAGTAGTTCAAAAAGGCGGTTGAAGTAAGATAATAGTTGTGCCGCGAGGAGCTTCAAAAAAACATGTCTACGCCTCACCCATCTCACTAGCGCCGTCCTGAATTGTTTGTTTTTCATCTGTGTGTGAAGCCAGATCAGTCAGAAATACTACAGGCCCTGCCAATTCTATTCAGTTTATTTATGTCTGCAAAATACAAGAGTCATCTTAAGGCCATTCACAAAGTAAGCATTCCAATTGAACCTACTTATCAAAGCACTGAGTTCAGTTCATTATGCCAGTTAGTTAATTTTCCTATAAGCACCACCATAATCGCCCGGGTGCACTTTGCACAGGATAAAGAAAAGATTATGTGACTGAGGAGGCAGACCACAATGGATAGACTGAGCTTAAGGCATAGGCAAAAGTCTTGACATCAGACAGCATCGAGTCACTGACTTGTTGTGTTAAAGACATTACAGCAATCCTCATACTAAACAAGCATGTAACGACAGTGGAGAGGAAAACTCCATTTTAACAGGAAGAAACCAGGACTGCAAATCTCCTTTGTTGACAGCAAAATGTTAGAGTGACTAAACTTACTTAAGATGTTCTTGTTAGGTCAACTCAGACAAACAAATGTATTATCGTCATGTGTCCTGTTGCTGATGGAGCAGCCACCTTCAAAAACAGCCAATGAGTGTAGATGAGTTCTGAAAAACATGGCCCACATCAGTACAGTTGTGATGCATCACAACCAGGAGAACACATCAGAATTATGATTCTACTCCTTTAGCTCCCAAAATACCTTTTATACTACTTTGGGGAAGCTTTATGCCTCCTTTCACCTGGTCTGAATCACTTTGGTGCATTTCTGCTCCCAGTGTCTGGAGCTGATCACATAATTTAAGTTGTTATATGAGAGTTATACATGAACACTTGTTTCCTTCTTGGCTCATGCTGTCCATTTTCCTGGCGCCATGTCATTTATAGCATAACGATAAAGGCTATGTAACCCAGAACACTTCCATCACTTGTCCCCTTAATGCTCCAAGCCAAACCAGTCGTGACTGCTTGTGGAGCTTAAAAATGGTCAATGCACCACATGTGCTTCTCACAATAAATGTTAAAGACGTTTAGATTTTAGACTGAGCTTAAGGCGTAGGCAAAAGTCTTGACAGTGCTCAGTCTGCTGGTAATCAGAGACCATAGGCCAAATTAACAAGCCAATATTAACCACAAGAAAGGAAGAGGATGTGTTAACTGTTGACCAGTCTGAAGAGAAAATTATCTTCCTCACCTTCTTAAGATATCCCATCCATGTGCCACGGGAGCGTTGCTATGGAGACAAGGAAGACCTCCCTGGAGTGAGAAGTTATGGCATAAGAGACGTTAATGAGACCTACGACACATATTGCTTTGCTGAGAAGATGTCAGGTATAACTTCATATAAAACCTACAGACTAAACACAACTTCATACTTTCATGTCAGTGTTTTATCTTTTAGCCTCTTTGATTCCTTCCAGGCAGAGTCTTCTACTCCATATCTCTAGAAAAGTTTAACTTCTACCAAGCAAAAGATCAGTGTGCCAAACTGGGTGCCAGGCTGGCCACCACTGGTGAGCTTTACATTGCCTGGAAGGGTGGTATGGATGTGTGTAATGCTGGTTGGCTGGCAGACAGGAGCGTTCGCTACCCGATCAACATCGCTAGGCCTCAATGTGGAGGGGGGCTCATCGGAGTAAGAACAGTCTACTTGTTCCCTAACCAGACAGGATACCCATACCCAGACTCTCTCTACGATGCCATCTGCTTCCAAGGTTAGATATTTTCAGAAAAGATTTTAGATTTTCAGTGAATTCTGAGAGTTTTTTCTGCTGTATTTGCTAAACATCAAAGTAAAATCCCACAGCTCAGCTGTAATTCTAAATTCTCTTGTCTCCACAGCAAGTGAGGATGAAGGTGCTGTGCCTGAGAGGACCACACCTTTCCCAGACATCAAACAAATCACACCGTCCTCGGAGTTCTACCCGGGATTGACCCCTTCACCCGGACTTGAGGAGGCTAAATCTGAAACAGAGGACATTTTCTCCCGACTGCCTCTCCCTACAAATATAACTGGTGGGGATGGCATGTCTCCTACAAGTAAGCTTGCTGTGTGGTTGATCAAAAACCATTTGGAAGAGTTTTGTATTTCTTACATATTTTTTTAGAAAACACAGAGTCTGGAGGATCAGCACCTCCAAATCTGAGACCATGGTTCTTGACCAGATAAGGGTGGCTTGCCAACTCTGGGTCGGGAGAGAGGTCCTACCTCAAGTGGAGGAGTTAAAGTATCTCGGGGTCTTGTTCACGAGTGAGGGTAGGAGGGATCTGGAGATCGACAGGCGGATCGGTTCAGCGTCTGCAGTGATGCGGACGCTGAGCCGATCTGTCGTGGTGAAGAGGGAGCTGAGCCAGAAAGCCAGGCTCTCGATTTACCGGTCGATCTACGTCCCAATCCTCACCTATGGTCATGAGCTTTGGGTAATGACCGAAAGAACGAGATTGAGGATACAAGCGGCCGAAATGAGTTTCCTCCGTAGGGTGGCCGGGCTCAGCCTTAGAGATAAGGTGAGGAGCTCGGACATTCGGGAGGGACTCGGAGTAGAACCGCTGCTCCTCCGGATCGAAAGGAGTCAGTTGAGGTGGTTTGGGCATCTGGTCAGGATGCCTCCTGGACACCTCCCTGGGGAGGTGTTTCGGGCATGTCCTGCCGGCAGGAGGCCCCCGGGTCGACCCAGGACACGTTGGAGAGGTTGTATCTCCAATCTGGTCCGGGAACGCCTTGGGGTCCTGTCGGAGAAGCTAGTGGAGGTGGCCGGGGAGAGGACGGTCTGGAGCTCCCTAGTTGGGATGCTGCCCCCGCGACCCGGACCCGGATAAGCGGAGGAAGACGACGATGACGAACACAGAGTCAGTTTGTACATGCAGTAGCAAATTCATATCAGCTATTTTAAAGAGAAGCACAGAATCTGAGCCTATTTGGGTCTAAGCATTGACTAACGGGGTCATAGCTTTACCTGACCACACAATTTATAGTTGAGAACTAGACATTGATCTCTCATATAAATAAGTATGTGTCAAATACTTTGAGATTCATCAGCTTGTAAATGTTTGTCATTATCATGACTACAAATCTGACGTCAGCACGTCGCATATATGATGTCACCACAGAATCTCCTCTATCCTAGCGTAGCTGCTACTTACCACACGGCCAGATTTATGGTGGTTCTTTCCTCCTGAAGGAAGGATTTGAAGTTCACTGAACTTACAGCCATTTCTCCTCAGTTTTTTTTCCGTGTCTGGTTTGATGACACCACTTTTGTGAAGCACATTTGTAGTCCTGGGCTTGTTTTCATACAAAACCTAAAATAACATTTTCCCCCATTCGAAAATAAGCGTATTCTTGGTTTTAAAATGCTTCTTTATGATTCACGGACATCATATGTGAAATCCATGGAACATAACAAGCAGGATTAAAAAATAGCGCTTTTAGCCCCGTTGACTTGCATTCTTTTTTTCCTCCTTCCGGGGACCCGTGGTCCGGAAGTAGATGGGCGTGACTTAGGCTCCCTGTACAACCATCTTCATACTTGTGTAAAAGGATGTGATGAAATAACACATTTTTCCTTCTTTCCTTATTCCAGGTGTGGTGTTCCACTATCGACCAATCACTGGCCGGTACACTCTGACATTTTTAGAAGCTATTCAGACTTGTGAAAGAGTTGGGGGAGTCATTGCCAGCCCCCAGCAGCTGCAGGCAGCTTTTGAGAAAGGCCTTCACCAATGTGATGCTGGCTGGCTGCGAGACCAAACCGTCCGGTTAGCTGAACAACCCATTCGTCTTGTGCTCTCTACCATGTTGAGTGTGTTTCCTATTTAGTCTCACCATAAATTGTCTCCATCTTTAGGTATCCTATTGTGTCACCCAGGGAAAACTGTGCTGGTAACCTGCTGAACATTCCAGGAGTGAGATCCTATGGTTTGAGACCAGCTGATGAACGTTACGATGTGTTTTGTTATGTGGATGGTCTAAAAGGTGAACCCTTTTAAATCCAGAGGATGTTACATTACTAGTATTTACTCTAGTCAAATGATGTTTCAACTCTCGTTCTCCCTCACAGGTGAGGTTTTCTTCACCAGTGATTATGACAGCTTCTCCTATGAGGAGGCTGTGCAGCACTGTCAGAAACTGAACACCACCCTGGCCACCCCCGGCCAGCTGTATGCTGCCTGGAAACAGGGACTTGATAAGTGTCGCCCAGGCTGGCTGATGGACCACAGTGTCCGCTACCCAATCACAACCCCAAAGTCCTACTGTGGAGGCGGGCAAGTCGGAGTCCACATCATACACGCATTTCCCAATCAGACAGGATTTCCCGATGAGTACTCACGCTACGATGCCTACTGCTTCAGAGGTCAGAACAAAGTACATATGGGTTTATTTACTGGACAAAAACTGCAAGAGAAATCACCTCAGTGTTATGACAGAAGACATTTAGTAGTTAGGTTCACAGCAGAAGACGTTTTAGCATAATAAACTATATTTTTTCACTAGGCTGCCATTACTGATGTCAATGGGAATGAGTGAGTTTCCCAAACTGACTCAAATATTTGCTATGCTTCTCCAGTTTTTGTGTGAGACTTTAGGTTATGTTTCTTAAATTTTGATAGAGTTTGAAGTGTGAAAAATATTTTAAAAATTGTCAAGGTGGCCCCAATGAGAGTACTCTCTCAAAGCCTGCCTCCCTCCCAATTTTTAATTCGGTTTTCAAAAGTCAGAAATTTTGGAAATTTGGGACAACGTTGGAATGGTTTGCAACCAATCAGCAAATTGTAATTTGTAAAAAAAATAATCACTCAGGTAAAATTAAGACACTTTGTAACTAAACTGCATCAAGAAATTTGTAGATGTTGCATGCCAGCATCCCTAAAAGTGTCATTCAGACCAATTCTATGGGATTACGTCATAATATAACTGTTGTACATAGTATATTCGTCATACATTACAACTACATTTTTTCACCATAATTTTGACTCGTCAATAGTCCCTGCCCAGTGGTACATTTACTTTACTCATTGCTCTAGTGTGTGTTCTGCATCTCACAACATTCAAAAAGATAATCTGTTTACACAGTTTTACAACCATTTTTACATCTGGAGCAGGGCGATTCACACGTGCAAACCTACGATCAGTTTTAGTTGAATGGCACGTTTGCATTAGACGTTGCTGACCAAAGTTCTTAACAGGGTGGGGAACAGAATGAAATACAATAAAACACAAAAACAAAAATTAAGTATAAAGCAATGTTGAAATCAAGTAAGAAAAAATCTTAAGTATACCCTGAGTTTAAAATGCCAGCTCCTAGAAATGAATATTCAGTGAGAATTCTAAAATAACACAAATAACTGAAAAACATGAAATAGAGTAGAAAAGTAACTGGACTAACCTTAAAGAAAAGGTGGAAGTTTGCAGGAAGTTCATTCCACAATTTGGGGCCAACCACTGAAAATCAGCCTGGGACTTTATTTTTATTCTGAGGACCAGCAGAAGATCCTGGGTATTAAATCTAGATGATCGTCATGATGATTGTTTTAAGCTCAGAAAATGAAGCAGGGGCAGAACCGTTCTTAAAAACAAACAGCAGCAATGTGAAACGGACAAAACTCAGGGAGCCAGTAGAGGGACGTGTGTGTAACTCTATGTGTAACGAGTAGGCAGCTGCATTTGGCCCAGTTATGACTGATGACTGTTAGGATTTAGTAGAAGGAGTTGCAGTAATGCAGTCTACAGGAAATAAAGAGGTGGATCACATGTTCAAATACATTTGGAGGGAAATAGGGCTTCACATTACCGATCTGTAATATGGATAAAACCACTGCACTGACTTGTTGAGATTTTTTAATGTGAGATTTACAATAAAGGGACAAAGAACCCATGTGATGATCAACAGAAATCCAGCGTATTAAAAACAGCAACCAGCTGATCTAAAAACCCTACAAGACTATAAAAGAGAATTTAAAACAAATAAGGTTAATCTGTGAATTATCTAGCTGTCCAGATTTGTGACATTTTCTATTTCATGTTATGATCTTAGTTTCACTTGTGAATAATGAGTTATTAAACACATGGCCCGACCTGTAAAACTTTTTAATATTGATGCCTACAATTTCTCTAATTTCACCAAGATTGTTGTTTTGCCGTTCACATGTTCTGATCATAGATTATGGATTTGGAAGTCAAAAGTTGTTTTCATTGGATGGAGTTTAATGCCAAACCAAACCATGGAACAAATGACAAAAAGTAATGTCTGTCTTAAATGTAATGGTAGAATCTTAGTAATACTACTAAAATAATATTGGTAATGTACTTAGATATTTTGATTGTGTGGTGTTTGTGTGAAAACTTTTCTACTGTTGACATCAGGGTATTGTCTCATTTGTGTCTTTCTTTCAGCCGAGTCTTCTGTTGTTCATCCTGAATATAACACCAGTGTAAATTCAACATCACTGACTGAAGATGTTATCAACAAAACAACAATCATCACTGATCACTTTGCTCTCACTGGTACGAACAAACCGCAAAATTACAGGAATTTCATCAATCTGCAAGCTTGACAAATACAACATATTTTGTGTGTTTGTGTGTGTCTGTGTGTGTGTGTGTGTGTGGGGGGGGGGGGGGGGGTATCCTAAAGCTAAGCTGTCAGGGCCTTTATGCTTATAGGATTACTTCAAATGGAAACAGTGTTCCCTCGCATGGATGTAAGTCACCGAGGCTCCCCTATAGATCCAGGCCTAGAGGTATTGCATGTTGATGAGGGAAAGCAGCCAGGCTGGACACAGCTGGAACAGGGGATGTGGGCCACCCTTCTCATGGGTTCACCAATTATGGGAGGGACAAAGAGTCTCAGATACAGTTTGAAATGGGCAGTGGCTGAAGACAGGGACCGTGGCATATAGAACCTTGTTTCTGTGCATTAATGTCACCTTTCTGGTGGGACAAGAAGCTGAGATGGTGTATGAAGTTAGATATTGTTGGATTCACCTCCACGCTCAAGCTTGGCTACAGGACCAGTTTCCTTAAGAGCAGCTGGATATTCTTCCAACATTTTATTGCCCCCGGACTCCACCAAGGCTTCCCTTCGTCAGTGAATCTGATTGTAATCTAACTGACAGAATTTCAAGGAGCAGCCAAGATGCTGAGGGTCCTGATGTCTTACGGATTCGGCTTTTGATTTATGCATATGGTGCAGTCTTGTTGGCTTCATCAGACCATGATATCCCACCATCACTGAAGCTGTTCAGTTGAACAGCTTCAGTGAAGCAGCCAGGATGAATATCAACACCTCCAAATCCAAGACCACGGATTCACTTGAGCTAAAAAAGTGTTGAAAGCCTTTTTTTTGGGTCAGGGACAAGGTCTTGCTGAAAGTAGAGGAGTTTAAGTATCTAGGGGTCTTGTTTACAAATGAGGGGAAATTTACAGTTCAGTCAACATTTCAACCCTTATCTATGGTCACAAGCTTTATGTAATGGCCAAAAGAACAGGGTTGCAGAAACAAGCGGCTGAAATGAATTTTCTCTCCAGGGTGCCTGGGTCTTTCTCTGAGAGATAATGCAAGAAGCTTGGTCATTTCGGAGGGGATCAGAGTAGAGCCCTAGCCACCTCCTGGTGGAAACCTTCCTGGTGAGGTGATAAGGGCATGCCCAACCAAAAAGAGATATAAAGCAAGACTGAGGACATGCTAAAGGGACAATGTTTCTTGGCTAGCCTAGGAATGTCTCATGATTTCCCTGGAGAGAGAGGGAAGTCTGGTCCTTTGTGCTTAGGCTGCTGCCCCTGCGACCCGACCTCGGATAAGCAGAAGAAAATGTGTAGATTAGTGTTACTTTCTTTACAAGGCAGTCATTTTGTGTTTTGTTCCGTTTACTTTCAGGTAAAACTTTAGTTAGTGACAATGAAACAGAACCTGCTGTAAATCACACAGAAAAAGAGATGATCCAGAATGTCACTGTGCTGACTCAGCATGTTGCTCCTAAAGGTGAGACACCTGGACATGACTGGGATATGCTGAAATGTTTGTTTTCTTTATCCCTTCTGGCCTAAAGTTGTCAAATAAATTTAACAAAACATAAATAATGTATTAAAAACAGTTGCTCTGTATTTTGATATGTTTTCTACAGAGAGAACCCCTGTTCCATCAGCCTCAGCTGATGTGTCAGGATCTGGTTCAGCTGAACTCTCAGCCAGCGGGGAGACCTCCAGAGAGTCTTCCTCCTCCAGCTCCAGTGGTGATGTGTCTGGGTCGGGAGAGGGTGTCATCCTCAAAGAATCCACAGACGTTTTCTCTGGAGAGCAGTCTGCCTCTAAAATGCAGGAGGCTAGAGGCGAAAGGGTGGATAGCTTCACATCTGGAGATTTGGGAAGTGCATCTGCATCTGGATCTGAATCTGGATCTGGATCTGGATCTTCATCTGCATCTGGATCTGAATCTGGATCTGAATCTGCATCTGGATCTGAATCTGGATTTGGATCTAGATCTGCATCTGGATCTGAATCTGCATCTGCATCTGCATCTGGATCTGAATCTGCATCTGGATCTGAATCTGGATTTGGATCTGGATCTGCATCTGAATCTGCATCTGCATCTGGATCTGGATCTGCCTTCATTATCTCAGGATCAGGATTTGGCAGTGGAAGTGCATACATCAGTGGTAGTGGTGAAGACCCAACAATCATCATTGTAAATGGAGAAATGGAGGAAGTGTCCAAAACTCACCAAAACAACACAGAGCAGGAATTTGGCCGTGGACATGTTGATTTCAGTGGAGACTTTAAAGAATCAAGTGGCTCCGGGTCTGGTGAAGTGTCCACGTCGGGTGATGTTTCTGGGTCCGGTAACGTTTCTGGATTGGGTGATGTTTCAGGTTCTGGCTCCAGTGGACTTCCTGGCATTTTATATATCGACCACAGTGGCACTGACCTGACAGAGCAGCAATCTGGAGAACAAGAGGTTTCTGGGTATCATCCAGTTGGATCAGGGGGCCACAGCGGTTTCTCCAGTGGAGTTCCACATGGAGTTTCTAGCAGTGTTTCTGCTTCTGGAGACCCCTTCCATTTAAGTGGTGATGTCATCTACATAACTGATGACAGGACATTCAAAGTGACTGAAGTAAGGGAACCTGAGCAGGGCCGTGGTGTGGTTGAAGTGAGCGGGGAAGGGAGTTCCTCAGGAGTCTTTCATGAATTCAGCAGCACTTTGAGTACATCAGGAACTGAAGCTGCCCGTGAAACACTTGCTGCTACAATGCCATATACAGAGTCCATCAGTGCTGCTGCCCAATCAGAAGTCAGAGCGACCGATCAGGATGGTTACACAGGACCTTCGGATTTTGCCGTGACTCCAGAGTTGGCCTACAATAGCCCACCAACAGTTCCATCAATGCTGTTAGCTACTCCAGCTGTTGTAGAGCAGCCTGATGTGGATGAAGGTACATGTTTTAGGTGTTGATTTACGATTTCTTGTTGACTAAACTGACGGCTCACGTCAGAGGATTGGAGAGATCTGCAGCTGTCTTATTGTTTTCTGAAATATGCATAGCTCTCCACGGCTGTCCCAATGGTTGGAGGGAGTTTCGGGATGGCTGTTACATCCATATTGATAACAGAGATACGTGGTCTGAAGCTGAGCATTACTGTCAGCAGCTGAACGCCCACCTGGTCAGCATCAACTCCCAGGAGGAGCAGGAATTTGTCAACTGTAAGGAACAAAACTACTGATTTACTTTTTTTTACTTTATCTGTATCTGAGAACTGAAATGTTTCATATTTACTGTGTGATGTTAATGTAAACAAACCACACATGTCTTGTTGTACTAAGTCAACCCTCTTGTTTCACAGTGAGTGGCCAGGATTACCAGTGGATTGGACTCAATGACAAAGATGTGCAGAATGAGTTCCGCTGGACTGACGGAAATCCTCTGGTGAGTTTGGTTTGGAGATGGAAAACTGCTTCAGTTGCAGAGTGCTAATTTTTGTTTTAAAAAAACTAAAGCACGCATGTCTTTGTATGATGTTCTCATCAGTCTTATGTGAACTGGAGGCCCAACCAGCCAGATAACTATTTGAATTCTGGGGAGGATTGTGTGGTGATGATCTGGCAAGAGGGTGGGCAGTGGAATGATGTGCCCTGCAACTACCACCTTCCATACACCTGCAAGATGAATCCTGGTGAGTTTATTGACATGGAATATGTTTCTGTTTGACTCAAGACTTTTAGGATCTGTTACAAGCAGAAATGTTTACGTGAAACATAAACATGGTCCAACATCCGGCATCTTAGAAGGGGGAAGCTGTGTACAATACCAACACTGTTTATCATGGGGACGGTGTGCCAGTGACCTTGAATCAGGATTTTATGAGTCAGTGTATGGAGACTTCCTCAATCCTGACATGTGAGGAAGTGAAGACTGAGGACTGTGAGGAAGAAGAGTCTGGTCCCCTTATTTAAAAAGGAGTACCACAGGGTGTGTTCCACATACAGGGGAGGACAGTTGTAAGCCTCCTTGGTAAGGTCTAATTAAAGGTTCTGGAGAGGATGGATCCACCAGATAGTCAACCAACAGATTCAGGAGGAACAATGTGGCTTTCATTCATGCAATGCTGGACCAGCTCTAAGCTCTTAGCAGGGTTCTTGAGCAGTTTGTGTCCATCGGGAAATCCTGTGGGCGGTACTCCAGAATAATACCAGGCCTCTTGTATTAGGTCCTTGTACAAAAGGAGTCAGAGCTTGCTTCACATTGCCGGGAGTAGGCCAGGCTCGTTTCCGATGAATGTTGAACTCTGCCAAAGTGTCCCTATATCACAGATTGGGTTCATAACTTTTATGGACAGGAGTTCTAGGTCCAGCTAAGGATTCTAAGGAGATCACTGCAAGGTTGTCTTGGGACCCCAAGCAAAAAGACCTGCTGCTGCTATGTCTCCAGCTATCTGAGCAGTGGTGGGGGTTTAGACATTCATTGCACCGGTCTGTTGTGATGTCATCATAGATTAGAGTGAATCATTCAATCTACATTCCAACTCTCATTTACTGTCACAACCTTTGGGTAGTGACTGAAAGAACAACATCATAGATACATTCAGTTTTCTCCACAGGATATCTGGGCTCTCCATTAGACAGAGAGTGAGGAGCTCGGTCATCCAGGAGGGACCAGGAGTAGATCTGCTGCTCTGCTATATCAAGAGGAACCATTTGGCCTCTGAATAAATCTGTCAGAATGAAAACAAAAGTTTTTATTTGAATAAACTAATAGGTCAAGTAACATCCATCAGCAGATTTTATCCAACCCGTTTCCAGTTAAACTAGATTGTCTTATGCTGAAATAATGATTTTGGACCATTTTAATTTTTGAATCCACCTTAAAACAAGTTTGTCCTAAAGGTTAGTCAGATGTAGATCTTTGTCCCATAAATATTATAATTCCATCCAGGGGTTGTGTGTCATGTTACCAAAATATAAACAGCAGTCGCTCAGGAGGTAGAGTGGGCTCTCCAGTAATCAGAGGGTTGTAGGAGTGATCCTGGATTCTGGCAGAGAATGCTGCTGTTGTGTCCTTGGGCAAGACACTTAATCTGCTTTGCCTGCTGGTGGTGGTCGGAGGGACTGGTATTGCCTTTGCTCTGCAGCCTCGCTTCTGTCATTGCGCCCCTGGGCAGCTGTTGCTACACTGTCATCACCATCAGCGTGTGAATGTGTGTGTGAATCAATGAATGATAAACTGTAGTAAAGTGTTCTGGAGTCCTCTAACTCTGAAAGGCACTATACAAGTGTGGTTCATTTATCATTTGTCTATAAAAGTCGAAATTTTAAGTAACGATATGCAATCAGTGAGCAGGAACACCCTCAAACGCTCGCACACACTCTGCGGTTGACATGTGTACGTAAGCGGATGTCTAATGCTATTGGCTAATGCTGAGTGTCGCTCAATTCAAATTGCAAGGGGCTCTTCGGGATGGGGGTAAGATTATAATTTTTATGGATTTCCTGAAAAATCATCTACAATTGCTGATATGGGGAAAACCATGAATTGTAGCTAAGATTGTCAGAAGGGGACACGATTACTCTGCCATATGAACCCGGGCTAAGATAGGCTAAAATTAGCTTCTTTCAGAGTGACAATTCAAGTGAACCAACTGATCATGCTTCTTTTCGAACTGTGACATGGACCATTGATCTGTAACTCAGAGGATATGACATTAATTTCTTTGTCACATGTCAGTAATGTGCGGATCACCCCCCAATGTGGAACACGGCCAGCCCATGGGCAGCAGTCGAGAACACTACGCTGTCGACTCCATTGTCCGCTACCAGTGTGATGCAGGCTACACACAGCGCCACCTACCTGTCATACGCTGCATGGAGAACGGGGAGTGGCAAAAGCCTCAGGTGGAGTGCCTAGAAGGTGAGGAATTATTTTTATGGGCCCAGTGTGTGAACATTTCATCTCTTTCTCTGACACGAGCAGCATCAGAGCAACAGATAGTTCAAATCGATCACAGATTGGTTTTTGCTTTGCTGTTTTTTAGATCATTTTGTCAGATATTTCTATGGTTACTGAAGGAGTGTCCTGGACAAAACATATCGATGTTTTCTTCCCTGGTTCACTTAGCTCTGATTTTATCCATCTGTCAAGGTGCTCCATCATACTGAAATAGACATTGTTCATCACCAAACTGTTGTTTGAGAATGTAAAATGGTAAATTACCTATATTTGATACAGGGCCTTCTAGAGTCTTAGAATTCCCTGACCTTTTGCATCTTTTTGTTACCTTATTGGTTTCCACTGCTTCTATAAAATCTCCAAAAATACCAAAAAAAAAAAAAAGAGTCCTGTTTACAACAAGCCATTTGAAAAAGTCCTTGTTAGTGTCATCGCAAACGGGAACATTTGCATAGAAACCACACTCACACCTCCAACCTCTCGAGTTCCCAATCACCAAAACTGTGTAAGATCCAATGATTTGGTTTACTGATATGGGAGACAGGTAAAATGACATCAGTCACAGCTGGGCAGCGTACACGTGCCTACATATGATGGAGGGACTTTTGTTTCTGAGCTGGCCTGCATCGAGTCACTAACTAGTGTCAGAGTCTTTACAGCAATGTTCATACTAAGCAAGCATTTAGCGAGAGTGGAGAGGAAAACTCCCTTTAACAGGAAGAAACCTCCAGAGAATCCTGGCTCAGTATAAGCAGCCATCCTCCACTACTCACTGGGGATCGAGAAGACAGAGCAGACACACTAGCTGTTTTTACAGGACCATAGCGTTCGCAAAGGGGATTTGCCGCGGCTCCCTGGGGAGGATAAAGGTCATTTATAAGATCAGACCGTGGCGGTAATGTGGCGCAATCGGATGGCAATTTTATAAAAGATTAGGTGATGGCGACATAAAGGGGGAATGGGGGCGTTCTCTGTGCTGCAGCAGACTTCCGTTTATCTTGGACATAACTTGCTTTTTATTGTGATTGAAGCCGTGATCATTAAGCTTTTTTTTTAACAAGCAGCTCCTAAAGGTGTCTGTCCCCATCAGTCCCTGTGCAGTCTCTGGTGATCTGAGCTTCAGCTCTAACAGAGAGGCTCATGGAGCGCTGCAGCGCTCCAGTTTGCCATCTCAGCTGATTTTGCTCAAAAGCAAACCTTATAGCCTGTGTTTACTTTCATTTTCAATAAATTTGCCAGCCGGAGCTCAGCAATACCTCCCCATGTCATCATGACATCTGCCTCTGTTGCGCCAGGGCGCATACGACAGACCATTATCGCAATATTACTACCAAGCGAGGCGGAACGAATGCCGCAATATTCGCGCAACGCCATGCCGGTGTTACAAACCCCCACTCCCCACCCGTCCTTCCAGGTCAGGAAGGTGAGAAGGTAGTAACTGGACAACCATAAGGAATGACACTCCACACATAAACTTCAGTTTATCACAGCTTTTTTATTGCTGCTCTGTTTATGTGGATGCTGCAGGTACCGCTGTGGAGGAGGGGGAGACAGGGACAGTTAGGTGGTGCCAAAAGAATGAAATTGATCAAATAAAATAGATCCTATCTACCCATCTAACTGAACAAAGGAATCAAACAAAAGCCTCAACTAAACTTCTCTACAAAATAGATGGATCCAGAAACATTGCCGGGGGGGGGGGGGGGGGGGGGGGGCAGCACCTCCTTACCTAGTCTTTCTAACAAGTTTCCACTACGTGATGAGATGTACAGGGGTCTCCCTGCTAAAGGTTGGTTTATGCTTGACGCGTCCGCGAGGTCCGCACGGCTCCACGCGGAAAAGTTGCGTCATTTTGCGTCATTTTAACAACCACGCCCCTCCACCGCTTCCCCGCACGGCCCCAGATTTCTGCAACGCGCACCTCGGAAAATTTCTAACCACACGGACGGACACGGAAAAACATGGCGGACTGGCAAGAACTAGTATGGCAGAGGTTCGTAAATACAGACATTTGTATGATTCAGCTCTCAGAGATCACCGTGATCAACATGTTGTAAATAATTCTTGGAGAGAAATAGCTCGCACTGTCGGAAAAGACGAGAACGCTGTTAAAAATACTGAAATGCCATGTTGTAAACAGTCATTTCTACTTCTACTATGGTGTAGTGTTGGGTGCATGCCGTAGAGCTCCATGCTGCCCCGTTCAGTTTGGGAGAATATTGGCTCACCGCAGAGACGAGCCGCATGAACCATAAACGCTGCAAATTGTGAAGCGCGTTCCATCCGCGAGCCGCATCACCGCGCGGAAAGTGAATGCATCAAGCATAAACCAAGCCTTACCTTGTCCCCAGTCTCCCTCCACCAAACCTTCAAACAACAGCAGCTCCGGAACACAGGTGGGTTAATCAAGCAGCAGCATGTGGGAGGAAGAGTCTCTCTGCTCTTCAAGGAAGCCTCCTTTTATCCTCTGCCCTGCTCCACAATCTGTACAAGGTGAAGTTAATCAGCCAATCCAGGGCTGCCACACCTAGTCTCTGCACCCTGTGTAAAAAGGGACAGTGAAAGGGGAGAGAAAGAGGAAAAACAAAGGGAGAAACACATACCCTGCCTGACTGGCATGTAACACCGGCATGGCGCGTTTATAGACATACCATTGCGGTAACACTACGCCGATTTGCCGGCATGGTCTGTCTTATAAAAGAGTCTACACACACCAGCCCCCCCGCCCACACACACACACACACACACACACACACACACACACACACCCACACACAACATATATGCCAAGTAGTGTTTCTATGGGTACATTGTGATTTCTTAGTAAATATTCTATCTAGTAAGAGATAAACTTTATTGTCTTTATCCAAAAAAAGTAAAAAGTTATTATCAGGAGAGGGAGAATGTTTAGGTGGTTAGCAGCAGTGTGCTAGACGGTGGCCCTCTCCATGAGGGCATCACAGCTCAGCAGAACATCATTGTAGCTTCTTTTGGGGAGAAAAACACTTAGAGAAAAAATAAAGCAAACAGCTGAAATAGCAGGAAATAATACAGTTAAAGTTAAATAATGCAATTAGAGATAAGTGGTAGAAGGAAGTAGTAGAGTGTGAAAAGTGGTCAGTGTATCCTCCAGCAGTCTAAGCATAACTACAGCATAACTACAGAGATAACTCTGGATAGCCTAGCCTTTTAGATGGAGGCATGTTGGAGGCAGGGCAAGGGAGAGCCGTCTTTACCGACTGTACACTCCACCTCCCTGTACTCCCCCACTTGTCCAGATCTAGGCTAACATCAGATTTTAACCATAGGTCCTATCAAATAAAAATGTTTTAAGCCTAATCTTAAAAGTAGACAAAGTGTCTGCCTCACAGACTAAGGCTGGGAGTTGGTTCCACAGGAGAGGAGCCTGATAGCTAAAAGATATGCCTCCCGTCCTATTTTTAGATATTCTGGGAACCACCAGTAAACCTGCAGTCTGAGAACGAAGTGCTTGGTTAGGAACGTACAAAACAATCAGGTCACTGATGTATGATGGCGCTTGATTATTAAGAGCTTTATATGTGAGAAGGAGGATCTTAAAATCTATTCTGAATTTAACAGGTAGCCAATGTAGGGAAGCTAAGACAGGAGAGATATGATCGCTCTTTTCAATTCTCATCAGAACTCTAGCTACAGCATTTTGGACAAGCTGAAGACTTTTAACTACATTCTGTGGACTTCCTGAGAGTAATGAATTACAGTAATCCAGTCTTGATGTAACAAATGCATGAACTAGTTTTTCAGCATCACTCCTGGAAAGGATGCTTCTAATCGTAGCAATATTCCAAAGGTGGAAGAAGGAAATCCTACAAACCTGTTTAAGTTGGGATTTGAATGACATGTCCTGGTCAAAGAAAACACCAAGGTTCCTTACTTTGTTCTTGGAGACTAATTTAATGCCGCTCAGTTCAGGTGATTGACTCAGCAATTTCCTTTTCTGATTTTCGGGTCCAAAGATGAGAACTTCAGTCTTGTCTGGATTTAAAAGCAGAAAGTTTACGGCCATCCAATTTTTTTAAGTCTTGAAGACAAACCTGTAATCTACCTGACCGATTAGGTTAATCAGGATTAAGGGATAAATATAACTGAGTATTGTCAGCGTAACAGTGGAAGTTTATACCATGCTGTCTAATAACTTTACCATTTGAAAGCATATAGATAGTATAAAGAATTGGTCCAAGCACTGAACCCTGTGGTACTCCGCAAATAACCCTGGAGTATGAAGATTTGTCATGTACATTAACAAAATGAAATCTGTCAGACAGGTAGGATTTAAACCAGACTATAGCACTGTTCCTTTGATCCCTACAACATGTTCAAGTCTTTGTAAAAAAAACATTGTGATCAACTGTGTCAAAGGCAGCACTAAGATTTAACAAGACTAGATTTAACAAGACTAGAACAGACACAAGATTCTTATCTGAGGCCATGAGAATATCATTTGTAACTCTCACTAATGCAGTTTCAGTGCTGTGATACTCTCTAAAACCAGACTGAAATTCCTCAAACAGATCATTAGTGTTTAGATGCTCACATAATTGATTGGTCACTATTTTCTCAAGGACTTTGGATAAAAATGGAAGGTTAGATATTGGTCTATAATTCGCTGGGTCATCTGGATCCAGAGGAGGTTTCTTAAGTAAAGGTTTGATTACAGCAACCTTAAAATCCTGTGGTACGTATCCATTTACTAAGGATAGATTGATTATGTCTAGAATGGGGGCAGTAACAAAAGTAAATTCATCTTTAAAAATTTTGGGTGGGTTTGGATCTAAAATACAAGTTGAAGGTTTAGATGAAGCTAATGTTTTTGATAACTCTGAAAGCTCAACTGGATCAAAACGGTTAAAACACAGATGAGGTTCTACAGTTACCTCTGATGCTGCCTCACTTACTGAGGAAGAAGAAATTGCATTAGGAAG